ATAATAAAAGGCCTCATAATGGCCTCCACAGGGGTACAAGCTATGATAACTTCTCCATATTTGGGTTAACTTATCCAACAAAGATATAATGTGCCCCAAACTGTCCAGTTCAACCATTCATGATTTTTAGGCTTTACTTGGCTCCATCCAGATTTTAGGCTTCATTTCTCTGGTCTATTGACTATCCTTATCCTCCAAAGAAGCTAAATTAATTTGCTTTTTTTTCACAGATGGGTCATATAAGGTTAAGTAAAGCTATGTATGTCTTCTTCTTCCAGGATACAGGATACAGGTTTATTATGGTACAATTAAAATTCAATTACAAAAAAAGGGGGGAATCAATCCCTTCAACTTCACTTGTCAATATATACTATTAAATTTTTTGTTTAATTCTACAAAAAAAATGGAAGTACAGCAGCAAAAAGAATTTCATCAAGTAAGAGAAAAAAGACCAGTAAAGGTCCTTTGGAGAGATCTCTATACTGGAGAATGGAAGGGACCTAGCAGACTGGATGTGGTGGCGTGCGCCTGTAATCCCAGCAGGGGAGGCTGTAAACAGGTGGATCACTGCAAGGTCGATCTAATAGTGAGACCCTGAACACCCTGTAGACCCTCCCCTAAAATCAAATAAATAAATAAATAAATAAAATCACCAGTAACCTAAGGCAGAGGAGATTCTTGTGCTTCTACAGGAAATGCTAAAAGGCCTATTTGGGTACGAGAGTAAGCTGTCAGGTTAAACCATGAAGCCGGATCTGGAGAAGTTAACAGCGATGAGGCCAGATCCAGCCTGGGGCCTACTGAAGGAAGTGACCAAATGGAAGTCGAAGGTCTAAATAGGTGGTAAAATATAAAAATAACTGACGTAAATTTTACTAGTATTAAGACAAAAATGCAAAATGTGCATAGTAATTACAGATAAAAGATTTATTCCTTCCAAAATTTTCTGATAAGAAAAGATCTCTGCCTGTTGACAAATAACAAAATCTGACTTGCCTATTTGTAATTACAAATTTCTAAAAATTGTAATAGAGTTACTATAATTAATTTGGTCAAGAATATATGAGTGCACTCTTGATTTTGTAAAGCTGTTTCTTCTGTGTTCTATGTATTTATGTTTGTGTGTAGTTCTGTAAACAGCTGTTCTTTTTTTCTTTTTAGATCATTTGTTCATGATACAATTTGAGATATAGATTTAAAAGCATGCTTTCTCCTAGGTTACCAACTGTTCTAAGTGATAGCAAAATCACTTTATACACAATTTACCAAAAAGTTTAAGCTAATTAAGCAAAAATTTCTTAGAGTGGGAAGAAATTATTAGATGGGTAAGAGGTGTGGCCCATCTTTTTGTTCTTCAATGAGGAGCTTCCAATAATCTCAATAGTCTCTTAGGAGACACCCTCAATACGTTGGTCATTGGTTTAAAAATAAAGTTTTTCAGAAAAAAAAATCACAATAAGGTTTTCTCTTGGTATAAAACTAAATTAAGAAACAAAGGTTTTCACAAGCGCATGGTAATTCATTATTGTTAATCTCACGGTATATTGAGTGTACTCATGATTCCAGGTGTACAGATCTTCCAAAATGTAAAACAAAGATTGCTTATTGTGATAAGACTTTCTCTTAGATTCAAAATTCTGCCTTTAACAAACAACTTGTGATGTATATCCTACTTAAGGACAACGAATCAGGTAAAAATTTCTTACCTATTAGATAGAGATGATCAGTTAAAAGGATTATATTATGTCAAAACGAAAATTTAAGTATGTCACAAAATGTCATCAGGGTTGTCTTGCTGCAATGTTGCATATGTTTTTGTTTTTTGTTTTCTAGTGTATTTAGTACAGAGTCTACAGGGTCTCACTACACAGATCAGACTCCTAGCATTCCTCCTGTTTTTCAGCCTCCCATGTGCTGAGATTACAGGCCCAGGCCACCACATCCAGTCTCAATCGCCATCTCAACATACCCCAGGGGCAGGGCTGGCACGGCACACCAGGGATCGAACCCCAGTCCCTGGGTCTGCCTAAGCAGGAGCTTTAATCCATTGAGCTTTAATCCGTTGAGGCCTAACAATATTGTATATGGTTTTGATTTTTAAATTTTTGTGTAAAAATATGTAATTGTTATCTTTTAACATTCTGTAGCGATTTAAATATTAGACTATCCACGGCTGCTAGATAATAACAGTTCCATTTTATGTCTAAGGTGTTTGATATTCAGATAGACAGTAATATTAAGCTTTACTGCTTCTGTTGCAGGGTAATGTCATTAAGCTTCTCTTCTGGATGTTTAACAACTAAAGTGTGGAGATCAATAATTAGAGACAGATGGGCCACAAGGAGAGTCAATATTTTGACCCTAGACCTTCAAGGTCAGTGAGAACTTAGGACATAAGAAAACATCTGCTGTGACATCCTATAACTCAGGTGAGTCCCTGATTTTCTGATCAAGGACATACTGGGGCCACAGAGGAAAGCGATCGATGCTGTAGAGTGTGCCTAAGGAGAGTCATCTAGAGAGAAAACATTCTCTCAGGCTTTCACAGAAAGCAAACTGGTCAAGCAATGGCTGTGTCTCATCCAGATGGCTGACACTGACAGAAGATGTAAGAGGTGCTGTACATGGTTCCAAGGTAAATCCTGAGGAGATTAACTGACCTTGTCAGATAGCAAAAGTTAAATTTGTATTTATACAAGTCTTGCTTTAACTTGGTCTTAACCATCCAGCAGAAAAGTGTAACCACAAGATAAAAAAAGTAATGGCATATTAATATGCTAAGCTGTAAAAGGTTCATGTCACTAACATCTTCTGAGAAGTGCCAACTGTATCGATAACTCACTACTGCTATTATGGACTATTAGACTATATAGGGTTACATTTTTGAATTCAAGTACTTAAAATCTTTGGACTGGCATCAAGTGTGAAAAGGTCCTCTAAAGAATTATCCAAATACAGCTTCTCCAGTTACAATGGAACATCCATCTCTGGCACAACAAAACAAAAAAGGGGGATATGTTGGGAGCCTTGGAAGCTAGAAAAGTGGCTAAGTGTGTAGGCAGGAACAGGCCTCGGTGCCTAAAGCCAACAAGCTACCTCAGTCCTGAAACAAGCATCCTGACTGGTTAATGTCAGCTACTAGTTACTAGGCAACCTTGTGTCACGTGTTACTAACTTTGCAAAGGTATAAATAAACATCCATAGTGTCACTCAGGGGTCTCACCAATCAGGCGGAGGAGTCACCACCTAGCCCAGCTCTTGTGTTCTTGTCTGTCTTTTCCTCATTCCTCCCACTGCTTCTCCCTGGGTAGAACGGATCACACCGATACCCACGGATCTGTACATGCCAGCGGAGGGCAGAGTGCGCTGGCCACCCCAAGACTGCATGTGGCCCCTGAGTACTCCTGGCCGCTGCCAAATTGCTCTACACTAGCCAGACCTAAAGGCCACAGGTATTTTCTCCATCTAGGTGACAAGCCCTGGACAGGAAGAAACTGCACACTCTGCTTTGGGCTCCTGCCTACCCCCTTTCAGAGAGGACAACACAGATTGACTGGAAAAGAGGGGTCCTAGAAAATACTCCCAAGTGGGCGTGTCTGCCACCAACTTCATCCTTTCTCCCTTAACCCTAATACTCTCTCCCTAGACTTCTCCGACAACTCCCACCCTGAACCCAAGAGACAGACACGCTTCTCTCCCTGCGTGCCCAGCTGGCATCCAGCTAATGAAGCACCCTAAAGTACACCTCCCACGGGCCTGCCCTTTAACAGTGATAGGGCAGAAGATAGAGGACCCAACGCTGGCTTTTGGGGGGCCGAACTTGGTTTAAATCCTGTGTCAACTACTTGATAAGCATGTTCCTTAACTCCTCTGAGCCTCAGTTTCCTCATCTGCAAAATGTTACTTTGCAACAAACACATTGACTTTTATTCAGTGCAGCCACGAGTTTTCCAGATGATTCTGAGGGGTTACTATAATTTATGTCACACAGCTATCACGTGGTAGATGTATAGAACAGCCGCCTTTGGTGGGGGTGGTTTGCGGGAGATTGAGCCCAAGGCCTCAGTCAAACAACAAGGCTAATGACAAACATTTGTCAGACACCCTGTAGGTGCTGGGCAAAGTGCAAGCACTGAGGACCTCAAGATGAGTAGTTTTCTGGTCTCTCATTGCAGAACAGATAACCCCTAGTAGGCACTCAGTAAATATTTGCCGAGTGCCTCAGGGAGCTCACACTTCAGTGAGAGACGTGGGACGCCCAGGGCACGGTCCTCACAAACACGGCAGGTCACACTCAGAAGCTAGGACGGAGCCCAGAGCAGGCCTTTGCTTGGGGCAAGGGGAAGAAAAGGCTGGCATGGGGGCCCAAGTAGAGTCACCAAGGATATGCAAGAAGGTATAGAAAACAGTGCCCTACAAGTGCTGTCCCCATAAGGGTTCTCAGGGGCTCACAGTTCTTGTGGTTCTCTAGGGACATGGCTGCCCTGGGAAGGGACAAGTGACTCAGAGAGAGACAAGCCCATCCCCGACAGTGGCCCTGAAGTTCAGGCCATAGCTCACGGCGAGCACAGACAGTGCATCTCAGCACTTCCCTACATTAAGTCGTTCGGTTCCCTTGCAGTCAGAATTACTACTGACCCTATTTCCTGGATGAAGAAACTGAGGAACAGTGCAAACAAGTCCTCCCAGCCCCACCAAGGTCAAGCTTGGGATTCACACTCACCAACCTGGCTCTGAGCAGTTAACTACATGTGGCTTCTCTTTCAGTTTAATGAACAAGTCCAGGGCAAAGCTCACAGTGCCTGGGGTCCTCCAGACCTTCATTCCCAGGCAATGAAGCAGGATATCAGGTCTGGGTGGGCAGGACAAGTAGGTAGGTGCTGAGAGCAGTCCCCGGCCCTGATTCCTGCAGGTGCTGGCTTTCCCTGTCCACACTTAGGCCCCGCCACCTTGCACACCCCGTACCAATGTGTTGGGCGGGGCGAGTTTCATGTGCTTACCCGCTTTTCATTAGAAGAGTCGTTCACGTTAACCCCACAGGCCAGGTCAGGCCTGGGGAAGGTTTCAGACCAGCCGTCCTGTGTGCAGTTTCGGAACAGGGAACCTGTGGGTGGCAAGCATCTTGCAAATGAGCAACTGGGCCGGGCACTGTGCTTTCATAACAGAATCTACAGTAACAAGTAAGTATTGTTGTCACTTTATAGCTGGGAAACTGAGGCAGGCAGGTTAAGTAGTATGTCCAAGTAAGTGAGGGAGGAGACTGCAACCCAGAAGCTCCAGAGCCCATACTCCCACCACACACTGCACACCAGTCCCCTTCCTTCCTCTTGCCCTGTGCTTTACCGGAACCTGTGTCCTAGGGCCATGGAACAAAAGGGTCCCCAGAACCTCTAGGGGAGTTGGCAAAGGTAGGACACTCCTACAGTAGACTCTTCCCCGGCTCTTGCTCTTACACATCCTGCTCAAGGAAGGAAGTTCTGTTTTACTTCTAATGCTACACCGTCTCACCTGGCCACTTGGAAGCCACCAAAGTGCTACTGAGGTAGACCCTTTCTGTCCTTCACAAGAAGAGTGGCATTTCCGGCCACAGAACCCAGGGCCCTCACGGAAGCAACTGCAGCTCTGGGTGCCCTACATACCTGCCACCAAGCTACAGGTTACCTCCTCTTGCTAGATGCCCAATGGTTCTGATCTCCTGGGGGGGAGGTGTTTGGGGGGTCCACACTGACTGGCTGGGGCTAGACAGAAAGGCAAATGAATGGGCATGCAAGTGTGTGTGTGTGTGTGTGTGTGTGTATGTGTGTGTGTGCATGCACGCATGCTCGTCTGTGTCTGTCTGTGTTGCTGAGAATCAAATCCAGGGCTTCACCCATGCTAAACACACCCCTTACCCCTTGCCCTCACTGCAGCTTTCAAAGCCAGAGCCCGAAGACTGAGACAGGAGCTCTGGCCAGGAAGGAAGGCCTGGGCCCAGGGAGAGGTGCCCACCTTGCACCTCGTAACCCAACTGCCTACTGGTGAGGGCGTCCCGGAGTGAGGGCCCTGGTCAGCAACTCCTGCACATGGAGCCCAGCCAGGGCCACCTGAGCAGCCCCACTGCACCTGCATGTGCCTCGCCAAGGACCCCAGAGCTAGGCCACTGCCCACAAGGCCCAGCGTCAAGTGAGCTCCAAGGAGATGGAGCTTTTCCAGAGCTGGCCACTCTGCTCAGCACTTTCTGCATGGAGATCTAATTTCTGACCTAATCCCACCTATTTTGCCAACCAAAAAACCAAGGCCCACATCTGGGCCTCAATGCCTAGCCAGCATCTATGCCGTCCCCTGCTGGCCTTCTCCCTGTGGTCCCAACGGTGGTTTCTATCCCCTGGAGACCATGTCCTGTGCCCTCTGGGCACACCCAGTCAGTGAAGCTTCAGAAGCCAAGAGCACAGGTCTGGCAGCAGCCTGACTGAGTTCAAACCCTAGCGCTGCGTTCTGGTTGCCATGTGCTTTTGCACGCATCGCTGCTCTGAGCCACACGGGCAGAAGCACCCACAGTGCAAGGGTGAGCCACGGCCATGCCAGCACCTGGCTCCATTAGCGACCTTTCCAAAGGAGGCAGGAGTGGGCAGGAATCTTGGGATTTTAGTATATATGCTGCTGAAGCGAGCTCAGGAATCTTGGAATTAAGGGGTGGAAGTTTTGAGAAATTGAATCAAGGGAGCTACACCGTCATGTTTGGATTTGTTGAATCGGATCACAACCCCCCACCCAGGGCCAAAGGTCATCCAGCAGCACCTGCCTGGAGGCGGCTCCTAGCCTGAGCAGCCTGACTGTTTGTCTGTGGACAGAAATTTGCATGTGACCCCAACTGGGTACCCAGAGCTGCCGACAAGGCAGTGACCCCTCACCCAGTGCCAGACACACACCACAGGACTGCAAGCCATAGGGCCGGGCGCTCTCTGGGGTGCCTGCACTATCTCCCACTTCCCTCCGCATAATTCCTGATAGGTAAGAAACCCCCAACCAGACCCAGGCCAGTATATGCCCAGGGGCCCCCAAACGCAGTGGGCATGCCTGTGCGCACACAGGCAGCCTGGGGAAGAGCCAGTCCAAGGCTTTCATGGAATTCTCAAGCCTCTAGGACTCAAAGGAGGTTAGTTATTACTACGGCTGAAAGGCGAGACCTCTGCTAGCCGGAGGGATCGCAGGACCCAGGCCTGACTCTGGAGCGCGTTACTGAACCAGAACAACTCCATAAGGCTGGCGCCCTTTCTGGAATCAGAGGAATGCATGTTAGCGGGAACACTGCAGGCCAACACGGGAACCTTCTGGGACGGATGACAGCCCCTGGTTTCTCCTCACACGGGTGCTCGCCTTCTCCCAGCCCATGTAATGGGTTCCTTCAGAGTTCATTTATGAATTAAGTCTAGTTTATGTTTCTTTGTTCCAAAAAAGTGTCCAGAACACCCTCTTGTTGTCACTGGGCACTCCCCCGAGGGCAGGAATCAGGGCTAGAGCCATGACAGGCGAGGGAGCTTTCCTTTCTGATGGGAGATAAAGGGAGGAGTCTTGTGAGACCCAGAGGGAGGGACGGTTCTTGATGAGGGGCCAAGGCTGGGCCTTGGGATCAGGGATCCTCCCCTGTGCTCTTGGGCCAAGGATGAACAGGGTAAGAACATCCATCTTACCTCCCCAGAGCTTGGCCCAGCAGCGGTAGGTAGACAGAGCCATTCATAGAACCTGCAGCACCACAGCGACACTGTGTGGCGGATAGACGAAACAGCAGCAGAGGCAGGCACAGGGTACCCTCGTGGATCATGGGCCATTCAGGGGCAAAGAGAGGGACCCCATAAAGGGAGAGAGTAGGCTTCTGGTTAATGGGGTGGAGAGGAGTTTAATCAGACCACTAGTGTGGTTGTGACAGGGCTGGCACTTGGTCACCTGTGTGGCGATGACATAGGCTTTGCTTGGTCTCTCTACAGAGGGGGAGGAAGGTGGTGGGGTGGGGGGGAGGACCAAGGCACTGTGGCTCTGGGGAGGCTTCAGGGAGGGGTTAAGAAGTTCTTTCCAGCGGGAGAGAAGCCCCTGGGTGGAGCCCTGGGCAGGAGTCAGATCCCAGGTCTGGTCCTGGCCTTGTGTCTATCCAGCCTCCTGCTCCAGGTTAGCCATGTTGTCATTCACATTCTGTGCCCTTAGCCCCACAAGGCCAGACACATGGAAGGGCTGGGCCGGAAGTAAAGATGGCCGATATGTTCACAGGTGTATGTGTGATGGGGAAAGAGGAGGGCTCTGGGGGGAAGGAGGACAGGGAAGGAAAGCATGGGAGAAGAAACCAGGCACAGCTAGCATATTTCTGAGCACAGCCTCATAAGATAGGTATTATTACACACACCGCTTCATAGATTAAAAAATTGAGGTTGAGTGACAATGAGCCACTTGGGCCATGAGGCCCACTAAGCTGCGTTTCCATGTGTCCCCTGCAGGTAGGCATTGTCGCTGTGTGACAGTTCTGGCTGAAGGAATGTGGGCAGAGGGGTATTCCTGTCAGGGCTGGCCTTCAGCCTCCCTGTGGGACCTTGTGGTCCTTTTGCCAGCCAACCTGGACCTGCACATGGAAACCACAGTGAAAAGATGCCGGAACTTAGTGTCCCCAGGTGGGGACCTGCCTGCTAATCAGAGATGTTGTTTTGGACTTTATGTGGGCCAACATGGTATGGCAACCTTGAGCTCTGAGAGGTTCGTCTGTTGCAGGAGATAATGTTACCAAATCAGTAAATGGAAGAGTGGGCTTCGGTTTTTTTCACCTGGTCCCCCACATTCCTGTCTTGTGGGGAGGTGAGTGAGGCTGAGGAACTGTGAGTTTCGGTAGCACCCTGCTCAAGTCTGTGTGTGTGTGTGTGTGTGTGTGTGTGTGTGTGTGTGTGTGTCTGTGTCTGTGTGTGTGCACAACAGCATGCATGTGCACACGTGGGGCTGTGTGTAATAGAACATTACAGCAAGAAGAATCTAGACTTCTCTCCCAGAGCCCACAAGCTGTCTCTGCTGCAGTTTGAACATGGAATATGCCCCCACGGTCCCACGTTTTCAGACCTTGGTCCTCTGCTTCCTCTCTGGGGAATGGTGGAGGTGGCCCTAGTGGGGGGAAGTTGGACATGTGCCCTTGAAGGTGGTAATTAGAACATCTGTCTCTTCCCCACCCACCCCACCCCACCCCGCTGGTCACCATGAGGCGACCCTCCCTGCTCCCCACCATGACGTCCTGCCTCCCACTGGCTCAGAAGCAGTAAGCTGATCAGCCATGGACTAAAACCTCCACAACAGTGAGCTAAAATTAACCTTTGATCCTCAAAGGATCAACATATCCACTTTCATGGACATTTGTGACAGTGACCGCAAGTGGACTAATAGTCTCCACAACCTATTCTTTGCCTGGCTTTGGAAGGTTAATGGGTTTCTTTGCCTGGCTTTGGAAGGCTGATGGGTTTTGCTCTTTGGTCTGTTCCTATGAAGGGCCTCTTTGGGTGTGGGTTTCCCACCCTTTGTGGGTGAAGGAGGGAGCAACAGGGCCAGGCCAGGCCAGGAAAGAGATCACAAAGGACCCCACCAAGGGAAAGGGTGAAAGGCCATGAACCTATCATGCCTCCTCTCAAGGACCATGACCAAGAGCAGCCTAGAACTACACTGACCATGCCCTCAGGGACAGAGTCCTGTTTTAAAATCAGCACTTGAATTTGAATCTTAGTGCTTCCACTTGCTGCTGAAAACATGGAGGCAAACTGCCAATCTCTCTTAGTCCTTGTTTTTATTATTACCTTTCACTGGGTCAAGTGAGTTACTGAGGCTGAGAACAAAGGTAAGTGGTATCCAAGGGTCATGACTAATGAGCCCATGTGTATATAAGAGCTGGCCAAAGGGGTGGAAGAAGTGACCCTTCCTGAAGACCAGGTCATTTGGCACTGCCAGGTGGGGTCTAATTACAGGGGCTGGAGCCAGGGCCTAGTTGCTAAGGAAACAGAAACATGGATGGAAGGCGAGGCAGAGAGAAGCCAACCCAGCTTCCTCAGCGCCTGTCCCAGGACCTTGCCTTCCACCCACTTCCTCTGGAGAATCCAGCCTCCTGCCCACCCCCAGCAGGGTTCCAGTTTCCAGCAAGCATTCCCTCCCGGGACTTCACCCACCACTTGTCCCCAGACAGGCTCTGAGCCTCCCATGCCAGGCGGAAGCCCCACCAGGGGCCACCCCACAGCCACTGGCCAGGCCCTTTGGGCTGCGTGGTTACCATTCCTGCTCCTCGTGAGCATCCGCAGGAACCTCGGGCACTCCACTCGCACGGTCTGTCCCGGCGCAGAGGAAGGCCAGCAGCTCATGTTGTCCCACAGGCCTGCACAGCCTGTGGAGAGGAACACAGACCAGTTCTGGGTACCCCGCCACGCTGTCTCTATCCCCATTTCTCTTGCCTACCTAGAGTTGCCAACAGACATTTCCAAAGTTGCCATCAGGTACTGGTTCCAGGAGGCCAGGAGCCAGTGGTGCCTAGCGAGTCCATGTTGGGACTTGTGGGGTCTAGGATCTGCCAGCTTCGTGCATGGGAAGTCCTTGGGGTTGAAGACACAGAGGAAAGAAGGAGCCAGGTATACAGAACCCGCCCCGCACCCACAGAGTCCAGTGGGATTGGTCTGAGCAGGCCCAGCAGTGACAGCAGGTTAATTCTAATACAACAGCCAGGGTCAGCATTCTTATCTCAGAACTCTTGAACTTCAGCTTGCAACAGAACTACCTGGAGGTAGGTGGGGTGGTGCGTGAAATTGTGTGCTCAAACAAGTCCTCAGCGGAGGCTGCGGCTGCTGCTCTGGAATCCACGTTGAGAACCACCGCCCCAGCAGCTCCCTGACACACACTGCTATAGTTGTTTGTGGCAGGCGTATTGTTGAAGATACCACTTGTCCCTCACTGTATTCACTTTATGAAGTGCTCTCCTGAAGGGGCAGCTGGTCCCATACAGTGAGAAGCTGAGCTCGCTGCCAACAATTCATGTCTAACTGTCCTCACTGACAGTGAATCTTGAAGCCGATTTCCCCTTTTATTTGGCTGCTAGAAAGCTCACAGCTGGATTTCTGGTTCATTTCTGGTAACTGAAAAACTCTGAAATGAACACAAAGATGGCTAGGTATCTTCCGTGCAGAAGTAGGCATTGTCTGAGCACAGCCGGTAGGATTGTCTGATTCTGTGGAGTCCGGGGCCTTTTACTATCTTTGTACAGTTTCATCCTCTGTAACTTATACTTCATAGCAATGCAGAAGATCCCTGTTCCCAGACACAAATAAACACTGTCCACTCAGTGCAACTGACCTCGCTCTGTCCCCCGCCCGGATTCAGCCTATTTTACATTCTTTTATTGTACCATTCTGTCTTGTAGTGTGGTTCTTCGAATTCTATGAATTAGTAGGAATACCTTACTGATCTCTCTTTTTTTTTCCTTACTGATTTCTTTGTCAATTAAATCAAGTGTCAGGCAGGCATGCATTTTATATTTGCCTGTGTTCTATGATTATATCCTTCAACCACTATCATTTCATATAACCACCCCTAATTCTCCTGAAGATGATCCCAGGGCTCCAGAAACCAAGGACCTTCCACCCTGTGACAGGCTCTGATGACCCAGGCCACCACCATTGAGGACAGGTATTGACAAGATGAGAAATGGGCAGCAATGTTCCCTACGAGGGGAGCAGCAGTCACCTTCATCCTCTGTGGGAACCAAGAGCTGTGCACCCCAAAGCCATGGGGAAAGGTCCAGGACTGTCCAGTCTGACAGCCTGGTGGCCAAGCCTGAGGCCCCAGCCATGTCCTTCTCTCTTTGGGTTCGGGGGAGCAGATGCTTGCTGTCTACAGATGAGGCCAAGGCCAGGAGCACAGCCTGCACCCTGCGGGTGGTGGGTGGTGAGTGGCAGCGCTTCCTGCCCGTATCTTTCCCAGGCCTCCGCTGTTGATCCTGGCAGTTGGAGGACGAGCCTGCTGGTCCTCTGGGCTGCAGCTTCTGGCTCTGGAGCCTGGGAAGTGCAAGGGGAGCATGCTGGGAGTGTGCCGCACGTGTGGGAATCGGCTGGGGGCTGACCTCCAGGCCTCACCACAAGATTCCGGTTTGCCCATTTGGAGGCCAGACCCAGGGATCCACGGGAGCCGGATCTTACTGCCTCACCACAGTTGCTGCTGCCTGAGCTCTCCAGGCCCTGCTTTGAGACTTCACCCTGCCTCTCCCTCCTTTCAAGCTGTGGGCCCAGGCCACCCCTGTTTCCCAGGAAACAGTGACACCGGCAGTCAGGGACTCACCTTCCAAGAAGGGGAGTAGAAGTCACTGCCTGTCAGCGGCTTCTGGGTGAAGATACCACTGGGTAAAGAGCTCCCCGAGAGCAGGAGCCTTGTGGACTGCCCTCCACTGGGGCCCGGATCCTGAGGGCCTGCCACAGTGAAGACACTCAAAGCCCCAGATGAATGGACCTGTGTCCCACCTCTGGCTCCCTCACTCATCCTATCCCCAAAATGCATTTCTGACTTGATACCTATGTGACTCCCGATTCCATTTCTGGCCCTGGCCCACTTCCCCACAGCCACCCATCCTGCCAGGTCTGCTTTTCTGCTAACAGGAGATGCCCATGGGACCCAGATCAACCCCATCTTACAGAGGAGGCCACTAAGCAGAGGGGGGGCAGTAGCTTCCTGAGAAATGCAGGGGCTGGAAGTGTCTCTGCCCACCCCATTCATGCCTGGTGTCATTTGGCAGCCTCTGCCCACCAGACCTGTCTGCAGTAGGTCTGGAGGACCTGGCTCCTGTAGTGTACCTAACCTCAGCCTGGTGCTGGGAACTGGGGATGGGGCTGGTGAGCAGGGTGGGTGGAGACAAGGAATGTGTTGGGCCTGGGAGGACAGGACAGGAAGGATGTAGTGGAGGAGTGGGACCTGGGCAGTAGAAGCCAAGCCTGCTACAGTGGGCTTCTGCTCCAGCAGCAGAACCAGGCGCAGAAGGAGAAAGAATGTGGGAGGATTCTAGAGCAGAGTCCATCCTGTGATTAGGAGGTCTGGGAGGAGGCTTTGAAGGCAAGAGTTGGGACATCGGCAAGGCTGTGGTTCAGGGCAAGGGCAGTGCGCATAAGAAGAGGGACCCAGGGCCAGCGAGATAGCTCAGTGGTCTAAAGCACCTGCTTAGGGCAGGCTGATCCAGCCACAAAAAGAAAAAAGAGGAGACACAGGAATGGAGTGACAGGTTTGGATACAGCCGCTTCGAGGCCAGTGGGAGCATTTGCAGGGTCAAGAACTTGGTATATGCGTTCTTCAAGGAACACAGGAGATGAGGATCCCTTAGACCGTAGGTCTCCCCAGGAATGTCTGTGAGCCTGGAGAAAGGAGCCCCCAAGCAACTCTCTGTTTTGTACCTTCCCTAGACCATCAGCAGAGCTCTGCCACCGCCCCAGAGGCTGGGCATCCCACTGCCGGCTGTAGGTGCTGCTCTCCAGGCCTGAGCAGAGAGTGTCCAGGGCTTGGCAGACCCTGGTTGACCTTGGGCTTCCCAGATGGCTTGGCCTGGTGACTTGGGCCTGGGGGCCCCTTCCAGATGACTCACTGCTTCTCTCTACTCTGAGCTACTCCAGCCTCTAGAGTTCCAGGAGGTGAGGGGTCCTTTGTCCTCCTTCCTATGTAGAGGTCTCCTTGCAGCTGCAGGATACAGGCAGTGCAATCTCCCTACTGGCTTGGGAGGCTTCAGCTACACCTGAAGCAGTGGGGCACTGTAGAGAGTGGAACAACACAGGGGCCTCTTATGCCTCTTGGAGAGAGACATTCTCGGGGCTGCTGGCAGCTGACCAGGCCATCAGGGCACTGATCCATCAGGTCTGATGATCCATGCTCAGCTAGACAGACGGGCAGAGGTGCCAGGACGTCTAAGAGCCTTCCTGAGCTGGGTCATGTCATCAGACAGAACACACAGGGACACCAAGCCTGGTGCTGGCAGAGGGTAGGAGGAGTGTCTGGGGCCAGTCGGTGGGCTGGCTGCCAGCTGGCTCACTGCCACGCCCTTTGTGTCTGTTACTCCTAGAGAAAAAGCAGTCTGGCCTGACAGGGCCATGCCAGACCTGCACTGGACACCCAAGAGACCCAGCAGATATCTCGCAGCTGGATGTCACAGCAACCCACTCTGCCCATGGGAGAGAAGAGGAACTTGGCTCCGAGAGGCACAGTGACAATGTGGTACAGGTGACAAAGCTGGTACCAGTGAAGCCGGGATCACACCTAGTCTTCCTGCTTCCCCACCAGGGAAGGATCCCACCCGCCAGGCTGCACTCGGTGGCAGCACGCAGAAGTCTCAGAAGAGTGCAGTGAGCATGCCCCACCGGGCTTCCGCTGCCAGCAGGGGCCCTCTGCTTTGCTCCCTGGGCTCCTGGCTGCCCCTTGCCAAGCTGGGCAGGGATGGGAGGTGGAGAGAGCACTTCCTGCCCAACTGAGACACCCTGTGCAGGGCACCTCTGGCAGAAAGAGACAGGCCAGGCTGCGGTGGCCACAGCATCCTGGGCCGCTGCAATCCTGAGCAGTAAACATCACCACCTAAATCATGCAGGGATGTTGCTGAGATAAGGGACTGGTTAGGGCTAGAGCATCTGACCACTGAGGGACAGCCACTGCCTCTGGAAAGCCCAGGCTAACATGAGCCTTGAGTTGCTGCTGTCCCTGAAACTACCCGGTGCAAAGGACAGGATGGAAGTCTAGGAGGTTGAAGTGAAGACACCAGGGCAAATGGTGCCAGGCCATAGACGCCATATGGCGGCGGGGGGGGGGGGCGACACATGAGGACAGAGTGCTGGATTGAGGCAGGTGCCATGAACGAGCCAGGGTAAGCCCTGGACTCAGGCGCACCCTAGGCTTGGCTCTGCCACTTTGCTCTGTGAGCCTCAGGTTCCTCATCTCTAAAATGAGCATCTTAACATTCTCCAGGATTTTTATGAGAAATGATTTATGTATGCAATAGGATATTCTTCTTTCATCTATTAACTTTGTTCTTTTTAATTTTCTTGGCATTTTTTTTCCATTTAATCTCTTCTTTCTCAAAATACTAGTAGGATATGTCGGACAGGAAAGGGGCTCTTAGCATCCTTTTTTCCTGGAGTTTCCAAAAGCCACTGGAGGATGAAAGGTATTCAGGTGTCATCTCAGTGGAGTAAATAGGAAAGCAGCAAGACTCCCTGGGGCTGGGGAGATAGCTGAGCAGTCTAAGCACCTGCCTGGCAAGCATGAGGACCCAGGTTCAATACTCAGTACCACACAGCATGCCAGCCCCAGCCCAGGCCCACCAAGCTGGCCACCATATCCAGGCATGGTGGTGCACACCTGTAATCCTAGCTCTGGGGAGGCTGAGACAGGAGAAGCTATGTAGCAAGACCCTGTACCAAATACGAAGAAGAAGGAGTGGGGGAGGGGGGGGCCGAGGGGGAGTGGGGGCAGAGGAGGAGGAAGAGGAAGAGGAGGAGGAGAAGAAGAAGAAGAAAAGAAGAAGAAGAAGAAGAAGAAGAAGAAGAAGAAGAAGAAGAAGAAGAAGAAGAAGAAGTGCTCAGACTGTGAAGAAAGGGAGGGGAAATGAACAGGAACACGGAAGGTTCCAGAAAGAACACAAGGCCCCTGCTGTCCAGCCAACCCCAGCTGGCAGGGAGGATAGCCCAAAGGAGAATGGCTATGGGAACACATCTCGATGAGACACAGACAGCCTTGTGGAGCCTGTGCCTCAGGCCACACACAAACAGGCCACCTGACTGGAGACAGGGGCTGCCGGCCACCATCCCAAGAGAGGGACCCCTGACATGGGGGAGAGGGGGAGATCCAGAAAATAACAAGGCTTAGGCTTCTGTCTCTCCAGAAGAATAAAGTCAAAGTCACATAAAATGGAAAATGTTCTATTTTCAGCCAGTGGACTGAAAATAGACTCCTTAAGGTTTGTCGCCTTTAGATTTATGAAGGCTCTGGCCTTGCACCGGGCCAAAGGTGACACCAGGCCCACCATCATCTTCCTGCCTATGGGGACATAGAGGAGGCCCAAGAGGCAAATCTGGATGGGGCAGGCCTGGGAGGAGAAAGGGCAGCCCTGGGCTCAGGTGCCCTCGGCATCTCTGCCCGGCCTCACCAGGCTGGCGCCACACCAAGAGCCCTCTGTTGATGGTGAGTGTGCCTGGTTTCCACCCACAGTGGAGCATCCATCTTCCGGTCCTTGGCTTATTTATAAATGAGTTCAGTTGGCCTGATGATAACCTCAGACTATTTCTGGAGCACTGTGACAGGCTGCGGTGACTGGGGGCCAGGAACAGCCAGGTCCCTTAGGGCCATGCGAGCTCGGGGTACTAGGGGTAGACACTGTGTCCTTCTGTGTCCCCTCCACATTCCGGATGCTCCTGGCCCTGTCCCCAGAGTCCTCCCGTAGCTTCTGCCTGTCAGCACTGGCCCTTTCCTCTGCCTGGGGACCGTCACATCCATCTCCTGAGCTGCTCCTTTCCTGGGGACTTGTCTTCCTCCCGCCTGAAGACCTCCATTCCCTGCTAATGACCAGGCTAGGAGAAAGGGCGGCCTTGGGCTCAGGTGCCCTCGGGACCTCTACCAGCCCCACCAGGCTGACGCCACACAAGGGCCCTTGCTGGCACTGACGCTCTCTCTCTTTTTTTTTTTCATGCAAAGCCCTTCCTGGGAAGATCAAGGCATCAGCTACTCCCAGTTTTGTGCTGAGTTTGAACAGAACAGATTACAAACCAGAGAATACTCCAGATTTAGATAAAAAAAAATTGGGGCTGAGGATCCTGCTTCTGTCCTATGTGATCCTGGACCCTCTGAGCCCCACTTTCTCCTCTGCGGCATGGGGATAACAATGGTAGCTACTACACGGTTGTTTTAATAATTTTAAAATGTTAAAAGGTCTAAGGTGTTATATGAAATCTACAAAGTAAGTTAAATTATTTCTGAAAAACAAGCCAAGACAAGTTGTGTTAAGAGTGAGCCGTAGGTAGCTGAGGGCAGCAGCCCCGACCTAAGGGGAGCGGGGCTGCTAAAGGAGATCAGGAGTGGGGTGGGGGGTCCAGAAGGGGCCTGAAGCTTCTTAGCGAAAATGCACTAAAAGCCAGCACGTTGAAAGGCTGATTCACACACCACGTGCAAGCCTCCAACCCAGAATGCTCTCCACAGAAGACAGACCAGGTTGGGTAGCAAATGACTCCCTGTATGAAATGTCCAAGCGGGCAGCTCCACAGAGACAGGGAGCAGACGAGCACTGCGAGTGGCTGTGGGAGGAAAGGGCGCCCAGTGATTCCTCCCTAAGTACTGGTCTTAATTTTGCTTGATGAACATGTTTTGGAAGTAGAAGTAGCGGTTGCCCAGCACTGGGAATGTACCGAGTGCCATGGAATTGTTCAATTTATTGTCACGTGAATTTCATCTAAACAAAAGCAAATTAATAAACAAATAAGAATCCATTTCTTGCCCCCTGTGCTCTGGGGTGTGGACAGATGTCTGGGCAGAGTCAAGAGGTCGGCCTGTCCTTCCTCAAAGGTGAGGTAACCAAGGCCCCGAGAACACTGGAGTCACTGGGGGGTCACACAGCACCTACCTGATGGGGCAGGACGCAGGCCTGAGTCCATCTAACAGCAGGGCCTACACATTTCCTGCCACCACACAGTCCTTCTGGAACATTCTTTCCTTAGGGAGAGAGTGTGTCCTGGCTTCTGTAAACACAGCACTAACCATCCCAGCAGAGCAGGCCATGTAGCTGTTAGGGTGACCCTGAAATGTTCCCACAAAATGTTGGGAAAGCCTTGGCTGCTTAACCTGGAATAGCTAAAAAGTTAATTTTTTATTTGTGGTAAGTATGCTGGGCTTGGTGACAGCTCTCTGACTCGCATTTCCTGTGACTTGTCCGACTTTCAAATATTAACCTCTACCCCAGGAGAACCAGGTAGCTTAACCATTAACTCTGTACCCCCAGCAGAGAGTGCCACATCCCCTTCCAGCTTGGGCACTAGGACAGAGTCTTGGGCCACAGGGAGGACCTTGGCTAAGCTCCCAGGGGACTTGCTGGCCTGAGCAAGAGACAAAGACATTGGCATCTTCCTGTCACCCCCTCCCAACTACTCTGTCCCTTTCTATTGCTCTGTCCCTCCCTGCCCCATATCTGCCCTGTCCTCCCCACTGTCCTCACACCTTACTCCATCAGCCATGCAGCCAGCAGGGCTGAAGATCTCCTTTCCCAGCATCCTCCCACCTCTCCTGCCACCAGGGATTTAAAAGCGCATTCAAAGCACCAGACCCCTTTTGCTTCCTGGAAACTGCACGGGCCAATATGAAAATCAGATGCAAGCAGCAGGGCCATCCACAAAGGGCAAGGCCAGCCCATCACCCTAACACCCACCTGTACCCACCTCCTTGGTTTGGCAGCCAGGGCTTTTGGGAATGTGGCTGGGCAAGTGGCCCAAGGGAAAGGTGCCAGTCACAGGCAGGGCTAAGCATGCAGGTGGGCAGTGGACGCCAGCCAACCATGGCAGAGGTTAGCCTGGCTGCGCAAGGAGCTGGACAGAGGCTGTGAGAGGAGCTCCCTGCTGTGAGATGCCTGCCTTCCCACCACAGCATCCTGAGGTGAGGTCAGTCAGTGGTTATTGCTCCCTCTTAGAAATGGCAAGCTGAGCAGCGCAAGGGTGGAGCCTCCTACCGGGGATGGCCAGCAGGGAGCAGCAGTGCCAAGAGCCTGCTGCCACCACACCCTCCCCGGGCCAGCCCCAGCCCGGACCCCACAGCCAGGTCAGAGCCCGGTGAAAGCCACCTGTCCTGGCTTCATAGAAGTGAGACTGTCCTGCACTGAGGCCCAGCAGACACGAGCAGGGGCCCCAGCCGCTACAAGAGCCTTAAGGAGGACCAGGGCACACCTCTGCCAGCCCAAGGCAGGCCCTGAAGATTGCCCTCGGAGGGAGATCATGGCTAGATGGCCCCACTAATTTGCATAAACCAGGCACACTGGAAACAATCACATCTCCTCAGGGCATCACTACTCCCTGCACAGCTCCCCCTCCGCACCTGTTCCCCCCACACACCCCGCAGTCAGCACTCCTGTTTGTTCCTTTCGCCCTGCTCTTAATCACATATCTGCATTCCCTCATTCACTCAGCAAGTCAGTCAACAGTCAAACGCAGCCAGTATTCAGTCCACATGGGTGCTGGGCCAAACACTGGAGAAAAAGAAGCAAGCAACACATCCCCACCCTGGGCTGGAGCAGGGAGAGGCCAGCACATACATCTCCACAGGGCAGTGCAGAGGTCCCAGGACAGAGAGAAACAGTCCTGCCAGAGCTGGGTGCTCAGCTAAACCACAGAACATTGTTCCTGGAGGAATCTAAAAAGCCCACACCTGGCACAGTGAGGAAGCGAGGGAACGGTGTTTTGGCAGAGGATTAGCACGTGCAGAGACTGAGCCAAGAAAGAAACTGCCACAGACATTCATTGTAACAGGGATCAAATCCAGGGTTACTCTACTGAAGTTATAGACCCAGTCTTTCGGAAAAATTGCTTTTTATTTTGCCAAATTGCCTGGGCTGGCCTTGAACTTTCAGTCCCTGGGCCTCAGCTTCCTGAGTACCTGGAGATAGTGTGCCCCCACTGGGCACACTGCAACTTTTGAGCACATGACCTGAGCTCACCACTACCTCTGCAGGGATCAGGGTTCAAGACCTCCTCTCTCAGGTTGCCTCCTCCTGGGGACGGGGAGGAGGAGCGCAGCTGAGACTGAGGCACCAGGCTGGCCTCGCTGGGGCCTTGCTTTCTACTGTGTGTCAAAGATAGCAAGAGGGTTGGGGGAATCAGGAGGCTGGTAACAGTGTCCCAGGAGTGCCAAGGCCAGGATCTGGCTTCCCAGAGCCGGTAGAGGAAGCAAAGGCTCAAACTAAAAGAGAGTCCTAACACACACATGTATACACACACACACACACACACACACACACACACACGCATATGCACACGCATGCATGCATACACTATGCATGTGAACTGCCTGGACACACACTGGCACCATCCACACACCTGGGCCTTTGTCACAAACACCTACCTTTCACCCCACTTGAGCAGCTCCCAGGGGCAAGTGCTGAGCACTGTGGTGCTGAGGCTCTCCTCGGGCTCTCCCTCCTCCCCTTCAGGCAGCTCCCACATCATCTGCCATCTGCACCTGCACACAGGTTCACCTCCCTCCGATTTCTGTGCTCAGCTCTCAACTCTGCACGTCTGAACCTCAACTTCTTCCCCCCCAGTTACGTCATCTGCCCTCCTTGTTCCCTCCAGATGCTCAAGGCCAACATCCGGGGCATTCTGGGTTCTCCCTGCACCCCCCAACCCCCCCACACACACACCTGGGATCCAGTTCTTGGAGAAGTCTGGATGTGACTGAGTAGCTCTCACCTGTGTCTGCCCTCCAGCCCATCGTCATTTGGAGTAGCCTGTATTTCCTCGGAGTAGACTGTGTTTCCTTGGTCCTAGCCCGCTCTGTGTCTGCCAACCTTGCTGTCCACTGCAGACCTGTACCCCTGTCATCTTTGCCAGCCATGGGAGCCCACCCATCACCCGAGCCCAGCACACTGGAATTCCAGAAATGGATGCTGCTTCCTGCCCCTGCCTTCTGGGGACTCAGTGACCAGTGAGCCTGGCACCTTTGCTCCCACATATGCTCCACCTGTCTCCTCAGTGCCCCAGTGGGACAATGCTCCATCTGCCCAGGGTGACAACTCAGCATCCACCAGCTTCCTTCCTTGTCTGGTACTGGTTTCACAGCCCTACTCATCACCTGCTTCTGGACAACCCAAACAAAGACGCCCCATTGGGTCAGTGATCCATGTACCCTGGCCAGGCCACCGCATCCCAGTGGGCTTCTCTGAACCACCTGGCATCCTTCTCCAGCCCGCCATCCATGCCACAGCAAGGGTGATCATCACAACAGATGATTGATCTCACCGCCAGCCTCGAAGACTCTCCAAGGCTTTCCTCACTCAAGGATCAGGACGAAAATCTTCCACGTGGACGGTGAGCTCCTATGTGCTGCAGCCCTGCTGCTCCCTTGCCTCCGTGCCAGGTCATAATCAGGCGTATGTAGGGCGAGCACAAACATCACTACCTCAGCAAAGCCCTTGCGGAGGTCTGGATCAATCAAGAGCCCCAGTTCTATGTGCAGGCAGAGCAGCAAGCTGTCCTTATGTCATTGTTATTTTTACATGGATTTGTGATTCATGGAGTCAGCTCCCTGCACAGAGCTGAGGGACCTGTGGCACGGACTGCCTGCTGGCCCTCCGTCTCTTCCTTCTCACTAGCACAGGCGGGGTTGTTTAAGGCAGCCGCATGCACAGCTAAGGCTCAACTGTCAGCTTCTCTGGCAGCCAAGGCTAGCTGCGCAGTCCACCGCTGGCCAGGAAGTGGAGGGCAAGCAGAAGCTACCAGCGAGCTTCAGGGAAGCTTGACCCAGAAATGCAGAGGATCCCTTCTCTTTCCTCCCTGAGGAGCTGCTGCCATTGCACCCCCACGAGGGCAGAAGCCACACATGAAGTCACAAGACAGAGGAATGCAGGCTGTCACACCAGCTCTAGCCTTTTACTGATGGTAACAAAGAAACACCTATTTAGTGAGGCCAACTCATTGAACTTGGGCCACATGGGGCAAAAACACACTCCTCAGTGCTGAGAGAGGGGTCTGCATGCTGCTGCCCTGATACCATTAAGTGCTGCATGAATAATTTTTGAATGAATGCCTTTCATTTCACACCAGTCTCTTAAAATAGATGTGGCAATTGAAGCCCAGAGACGTTAAACAACTTGGTCAAGATCGGTCACCCAACTTAAAAGCCTGGTTTTTTTTTTTTTTAATTCAAGTAAAACGATACAATCTAAATGAACCATGAGCCATTTAAGTGCACCATCCAGTACTGTTCGGCACCATCACAGCACCACGTCACCTCTCCTAGCCTAAGCCATTTCCGTAGCTTCTCAAAGGAAACCCTGTACCCATCAGACAGCCACTCCCTGTTGTCCCTCACCTCATCCCTTGCCACCACTAATGCAATTTATATCTTTATAGATTTGCCTAATCTGCACATTTCATATATACGTGGAGTCGTATGATGTGTGAATCTTTGCATCTGGTTTATTCCATTTAGCACCAGGTTTTCAAGGTCCATCCATACTGTAGCATGTATTGGTTCTCTCTCTCTCTCTCTCTCTCTCTCCTCTCTCCTCTCTCTCTCTCTCTCTCTCCCCCTGCCCTGCTGGAAGGAACCCAGGGCTTCAAGCAGGCTAAGCAAGCATTCTGCCATTGCCATTGACATACCGCTTCTTTTCTTTTCTTTTTTTGGGACAGGGTCTCACTATATAGTTCATACCGGCCTCACACTCATTATGGAGCACAGGTTAACCTCAAACTCGTGTATCTTCCTGTCTCAGCCTCCTGAGTGCGGGAACTATAGGTGTGCTCCACCGTGGCTGTCTTTATTCATTTTCTTTCTTTGTTTTTATGTATTTTGTACAGGGTCTACAGGGTCTCACTGCACAGATTGGACTCGTAATGATCTTCCTGTTCTTAGTTTCCCAAGTGCTGGGATTACAGGCATGCACCACCACGCCCAGCCGTAATCACAGTCTCAGCGCACGCTGGAGCCAGGGCCAGCAAGGCACACGGGGGATCCAACCTTCTTTATTCATTTCAAAGCTGAATAATACTCCATTGTGTAAGGGTGTCACACTGTTTATCCATTCATCGACTGATGAATATTTGGGTTATCTCCACTCTTGGGTATTACAAAAAATGCTACAAATGTTTGAATACTTAGAGTGTTTCCTTAATACCACATGCTTACATGATAAAGAACAAGAAAAGAAGTTAAGCATAGGAAGGGTGAAATGAATATTTAAATATAGAGCTAATTATCAAGTGCTGATTAATATTTAGTACTTAAATCAGCAATATTTACAAAGCACTTGTATCCTACACACTTTATCTCATCTAGCGTATGTGCTGCCGAAGCGAGCACACTTTATCTCCTCTAGAAGTACACATTATCACCTACATTCTACAGAAAACTGAGGCCCAGAGAGCCCAATGGCTTATCCTTAGTCACTCAGCCAGCGAGCGTCAGAAACACAAGACACCAGGGTCTCTGGCCCCACACTGCGTTTTCTCCTTCTTCACTCATCAAATGGGCCGTGAAGGTGACATAGCAATGAGAGATGAGCCACCTTCCATGGCAGATCTCACCTTGCAGAAGTCTGCACGCAGGAGCTGATGGTAAGGAAGGGCTGTCTGCCCCCACATGCCCCATCCTGAGTGAGCACAGACTGCTTACCAGCCCCCTGCTGTGTGCGTGGACAAAGCTAGGTCGATCCCACATCCCCTCCTGGCCCAGGAGACCTGGACACAAGTGCATGCTCAGCCGAGAGAGTCCCATACCTGGTGCTAGCGGCTCCAGGTCCAGATCACCCTTCTCGTCCCTGGAGAGCTCCTGCAGGCACTGGTCTTGCTCCTCACGCAGCACGCGCAGCACATCACACAGTCGGGTCAGGGCTCCAGCCTGCAAGGCCAAGACCAAGGGTGCTCATCACTGCTGCCTGTCGATCCTACCATGCACAGGTTCTCTGGGAGCAAGAACGGGGCTAGAGACCGGGCATTCAAAATGAGGAAGGCGAAGCCCACAGGGGCTCCTGGTCAGCAGGGAGGCAGAGGCAACCACTCTAGGACAGAGTTCAGTGCACAGGCACGACAGCCAAGCTGCTTTCCTGGTCTGCAGCTTGTCCGCTCTTAGGTTATTGGAGGCCTCCAAGTCCAACCAGCTTCCTGCTTCCTGCACATGCCGCTGTCAGTGTGTAAGGCTAACTACTTGATTGCTCTCTTTTGTTTTTGAAAGAAGAGTTTGGATTCAGACAGCTCTTTGGAATCTGCACTCGGCCATCTTCTTGTCTCATAAAAGAGCATGTGTCGAGGCACACAAAAGTGCCTGCAGGAGGAAGTGGACAGAACGGAAGAGGGACAGACACGCGGTCCTGGATTCCTGGCTCTTCTGAAGTTACACTTTCATAACATCGTCACCGCCATGTTCAAGATTATAAAGACAAGCATAAGCAGTCTTCGCTTTCTTCTAGTTTGGAGCCTGTGCATCTGCCCACTTTTCACTAACGCTGTCATAAAGGATTTACCAGCTGTCAGCAGCAGGTCTTCTTCCCCTACTCCATGACACCAGCTGGCCAAGCACTGTGGTCCCCACCATCACCTCTCCTGGCCCAGAGCCTGTGCTAAAGCACAGCAAGCCCTTGCAGGCATTGGTCTGAGAGCCACACATGTTCTCTCCCCCCACCCTCAGCCCTGCGTTTCTCTCATTTATTCCAACTCAACACAGCTAATAATGATTTGTTTTGTTTTGTTTCATGCAGTACTAAGCACAGAATCTTAGTGCACCACTTAGCTATAGCCCCAGATCCTAACGACTGAACCACATGCTGTTGAAATTCTCACAGTGAAACTCCTGCTCCTTGATACTCACACAGGAGACTGGTTCCAGGACTCTTGCCCCTCAGGATACCAAGAGCCACAGCTGCTCCAGCCCTTACATAAAGTGATGTAGCATTTGCCTATAACCTACAGGTATCCTCCATATACTTCCATCATCTTCTAGACGACTTGTAATACCTAGTATAATGTAAAAACTTTGCATAAAGTTGTTGTAACATTTTTCAGGGAATGAAGATAAGAAAATAGTCTGGTAAAATATAAATAGTCTAATGAAGATAAGAAAATACGGGTTCAAGTATTTCAGTTCATTGATTTGAGGCCCAACTGCAGTTGCCCTAAGAATACAGTAATTGTCAGGAGTGCTGCCCCTGACACCTGGCCTACATACTGGGGCCCTTCTCCTCTCCCTCAGGGGGTCTCACCTGGTCTTAGCCAAGACTAAAGTCACTCTCAAAGTTGGCAAAGTGCTGGATAATCAAACAGGTATATAATGGCTGATACACTGTGTCAACTTGAGAAGCTCAGCTAAGTAACTCAGCAGCTATACATCCTGGGGGTGTAGAGGGCATGCCCCTCCTGCTCTAAGAAGTCATTCATTGTATCAACTTGAGAAGTTTAGAAGCTTAGCTAAGTGGCTCAGCAGGGGGCCAGGGTGCTCGCTTTGTAAACATCCGGAGCCTATGCAAGAGGAGGGCCTGGGGCGGGAGAGATGGCTCACTGGTCTAAAGCACCTACTTGGAACAAGCTTGGCAAAGCACAGGGACCGCGGTTCAATCCTCCAGCACCACATGCCGGCCATGCCCCCTGGTGGGCTGAGCTGGCCACACACACACACACACACACACACACAATAAAATGTTAAAATTAAAAAAAAAAAGAGGAGGGCCTGGAGGTGGTGAGGGCTACACCCACCCCAGGCGGAGCGCCTGCCTACTAGAAAAGGGAAATGAGGAAGGACTGCTTGCTGGTTCTTTTGGAGGAGCCAGTCTTCGCCTTTGGCTTGGGCATTGTGTCCTGGCTTTGGCACAGACTGTTCTGTTTCCGCCCGAGACCCTTTAGCCTTTGTTGTACAAGCAGACTCTTTGGCCTTCTGGCATAGATTCCTCAACCTTCCATTGCAGACCCATCAGCCTGATACAGACTTGCACAAACGCTGCAGTGAGCTCCAGACCTTGGACTCAATCCTTCAGTCCCAGGTGTGCAGGCACCCTCTGCACCTTCCTCCTCTGACTCTGTGGCTGACTGTTGTAAGCCAACCTTGCCATTTCTTATACCTGTGTACATCTTCCGTTCTATCTGTTTCTTTAGTAAATGCTGACTGATACAAGGCACAATCTTGTAATGCATTTAGGGAATCTCACATATTGGCCCATAATGGCCTCTGGTCAACTCACCCTATGTCTGCAAATCCATTCCCCACATGAGGAAAGCCTTATACAGACTCTGTAGCAGCTGTACAGCAAATAGGATAAAAGACCAGCTTCCAAGAAGATGCACCTCACATAGTATTCCCTACTACGTCCGGTAAACGCAAATTAAATCTTGGATTTTTTTTTTTAAAAGGAAGACTCTGAAAGATAGAGAGAAAAAGGCAGATGGGCCAGAGGAGTGACACAGAGGTAAGTTTCACCTCCGACATCGTAGTCTTAGAGCCGAGGAAGTTGGCAATAAGGAAACACCACGAGGCACAGACCCAAGAGCTCTAACAAAAGCCTGGTCTCTCTAGCCAAGGACAGGACAGGGGCAATTAAGCAATAACTGCCCTGTTCCCTTTGAACCCCAGAGAAAAAGCCCCACCACTACCTCCCAGAAAAGGCCAAGAAGGAAGTCAGGCATTTCACATTGCCAGGCTGCAACAGGTGCCCAGCCTTGGAGGTGCTGGAAGCTAACATGTGTTCACGGGGGCTGCAAACCCAGCCAAGAGGATGGCAGAAAAGACAAGTAGGGAGCTGGAACTGCCATCCCTGCTGTGGGCAATGAAAAGCGCCCCCCTGCTCATGGCCCAGTGAACACAGCCTCTACGCCAACTCAGAAAGTAGCGAGGCCCCCCCCCCCCGCTCCCAAGGATGCTCTCACAGGAGGCTGGTGGGAAGTCAGGACTTTGCCCCTCCAAGTGGGGATGAAGCCATCTGCATTGCACTCTTCTTAGTGGCGACCCTGGGGGTGCTGATACGTCTACTTCGCCCGCCATCACCAGCAGCTAG